TGGTATACATCGGAAGCCGAGAAATACCAGAGTTTAAAACTCTCCATCACCTTGAGCTTACAGAACCAGATAATGTCAAAGAATAGGTAACTCCTAAACGTGTTTTAACAATCTGATCATATCAATATACAGGATTCAGGCCGTGTTTATTTTACGGCTAAATATGGGAAGAACGCGAAAGTTAGGTTTAACTCACGTGAAGACGGCAGTCGCTGCGGATGCATTTGTTACATAGAGGATGGAAATATGCCGTTCCGTTGGGATGCTTATGGTTCAAAAGGGCACGCTCATGTTATCTCGATAGCTATGAGACACAGTTATCGAGTAACATCGGATCGAAATCCGGGTAGCGGTATTGAGCGTTACGGAAATGCCAATGAGAACAATCCTAATAGTTTAGATAAGGTTNCATTCTATTCACTAAATACAACAATCAAATAATGTTCTTTATGCATAACTAAGCTGGCAGCAAAATAAAGCAATACAATGTTAGGCTAAATACGCCAATTACTTACTCCTATGCGATAAGTCCTCCTTGCGGACATCCTCCATTACTTGACGCACATGTGCGGCTCGTTCCTCCAATTCCTGCAGCTCATCCTCCAGTGCTGCGCAAACGCGCTCCTGCTCCAGCTCAGCCATGGCTCTGAGTTCCGAGACTTCGGTGGGTAGATCCCACATCCTCAACTGGTCAAAAAGGTTGTCCTCATCGTGGACAACTGCTGCTCGATGGCAGCACGTCTGGAACTCCTTCAGACGTTCCAGAAAGCCTTTTCCGCGGAAGGCTCCTCCATCCTGCAGCAATAAGCTGCTGTCATTCTGGATAGTCTCCTGAAGCCAGCAGAGGTGGCCTAGGTCAGGGTTAATGCGGTAGAGCATAGGTCTACCTTGGAATGTAGAAGTCGAATAGTCACGACGGAATGATAATGTTGGAGTTACTGTCTCCGGCCTCGCTTCGAACGTTATAATAGGCTCTGGAGTTCCACACAGAGATAAAGAATTGTTCGACATTATTAGAATGTCTCTATTAATGAATGTAGGTCGTACGGAACGGAACGAATAAATACTTAGAACAGCGAAAGGATAGAGCGGAAATAAGAATCACAAGCATTTTTCGTCTTTTATATTGTCTCCATAAAAAGAGCTGCTTTAGTGCTTGCCGCCTTTTGCTTCGTCATCGCTCGTCTTGTAAAGAGAAATTTATCATAATCATGAATCATCTTTAAAATTTATCAACATAAAGGAATTAGTCACTAGTCTAGCCTTATTTTATAACGGGAGGAAACAACGAATGACAGCCTTTTATGTTATATTATATATATAGTAAAAGTTCTCCAGCTGCACGGTTCGATATTGACTTGCGAGAACTTTTCGTGTACAAGTTCCTGGACAATGTTAAAAAAGGTGCCGAGATCCAATTCATTGACAATGCTTCTTTCTCAAGATGGATGGTATACATCGGAAGCCGAGAAATACCAGAGTTTAAAACTCTCCATCACCTTG